CACTTATTACACTCAGCCGAAAGAGTATTACTGAGCTTAGCTATGCAGGACACTGGAGAATAAAGGTTCTTTCTATGACTGACTGAGAGCTGCTTGTTTCTGTTATTTCCCAGCATTCAGAATTATGTTATGCTGGGTTTATCTGTAGTAGATGCTGATCAATACTGTGGAGAAAATCAAGCAGGGAAGGTAGGTGAGGGGAATTTTAAGAATGGTATCCAGCTGACTTCTCTTGGATGAAGACCCTGAATAAGGGGAACGTAGTGTTCTTGGATAGCTCAAGGAAGACTGATGGCAAAAGTCATGGGAATTAGATGAAACAGAAGCCACAAGACCAGATGAGGGCACTAGAGCTTACAAGGAGAGCTTTAGAAAGCCTAAGAGCTCTACCTTTAACCTTGTTCTTGGTTCCAAATCATACTTTTTTTTTTAATGCATGAAGTCTGGCATGGCATTTTTCTACAAAAATCACTACCTTGATACAATATTTAAAGTAAATGTAATTACAATATTGTTCTAACTATAATGCTTACATTTCAAGCTACTCAGGAGGCTGTGATATGAAAATCACAGTTCAAAGCCAGCCCCAAAAGACAAATCTGTGAGACTCTTATTTCTACTTTAACTGGCAAAAAGCCAGACTCAAGGAATGGTTCAGGTGGTAGAGCACCAGCTGTGAGTGGAAAATCGCAGTGAGTGTGAAAAGCCCTGAGTTCAAGCTTTTGTTTTATTTTAAAATAAAATAAAACAAGTGTCAGTAAAATTTAATTACTTCTAAATGAAATCTAAGGTTTTATGAAGTTCTTGATCTTCTCATTCAACTAAAAAAAGAAAAAAGACTGCTTCTGTAAAGCCTGTGCTTAGGTATTTCTACTCTTGTTTCTAAGTAACTGGCTCCATTTCCTGTGTGGTGGCATTGGATACTAAAGGCTTCATTTAACACGGGCACTGTGGAGATCTAAATATTCCTGCCTCAGTCAGAGTGCTATATAAGTGGCTTTGGAGAAAGAAGAGATGCCCAGAAGCTATAAAGCCAATCGATAGCTCACTGTTTGTTATATTTTAATCTACCAAAAGAAATTAAACACACAAACACACAATACCTAGTACTTAGCATCCAGGCAGTAGAGTGATTAGCTATTGATTTTTTTCCTCCTTTTTACAGAGGAAAGATAGGCTTTTATTGAAATCCCCGTGTTGTCCTGTTTGATAGGACTGTGTGAGGAAAAGAAAAGTATATATGGAAAGGGGAGTTTGACCCTCTGAGCTAATGACTTAGTTTAAATAGTTTCACAAATCAAAATTGCAAGTTTATTTCCTCCCTTATTATGAATGGTAAGTATGGTGCAATTGTATTTATGAGACACAGATTTGAAGTCTGATAGCCAAGAAAATTACTTGAGTTTTCACTGGAAGATCTGAGGGATGTTGTGAAGTGGGAGGAAAAAAATATGCCTGCTTCCTGCATCATGAAAGGTACAGTGTATCCCTCCTGGTCTTCCATCTGCCTCCAGAGGGAGTCTTGTCCCTTTGTTCAATAATTTCTCTCTGTCCCTTAGAGATGCAGAAGAGTTATGCCTTTGCCCCATGGTTGTGCCAGCTTCCCGTTGCTCAGCTCCAGATGCTGTATATTGAGACCTGTTGCACGTGGTCAGGCTATGGACTCTGTACCCTGCTTAGCAACCATACAGGAATGAGCTCCTGGATTCCAGATGCCTACCCATGGGGACAGTAGTTAGTAGGGGCTTAGGCCATTTCACAGGAGGTCTCTGTGCAGGAATCCCTCGCCAAGAATCAATCAGCTTGGGCCCAAGTGTCTTCCTGCCTACAGAGAGGGGCCCTCATCATTTGATCTTCCAGACTCAGGAGGCCTCTTGAAGGTTCCAGTCCACTGGCTCACATATAGTTCCCATTCCAGGGGGCCATCTGCAGAGGTTTCCTTGACTCCTTTCCCTGGATTCCCTGCCTCCTGCTCTCCCCTCTCCATAAATACCTGTGTACAACATCTTCATTGCCTGTTAAGTCTTGGCTCAAGGATTGCCTTCCCAACCCCTCCTACCATGGCCTTCCACTTAAAGTCAGAACCTTAAAATGGATATCAATATGGAGAACCAAAAGAAACCCTTATCTCATGCTATATATAAAATCCAACACAAATGCATTGAATACTTAATCATAAAACCTGACACTATATAACTTCTTGAAGAAAAAGTAAAGGAATAGCTACATAACATTTTTTGTGGAAATGATTTTCTAAATTCGACTCTAAAACTAATAGACAAAAATAGGCAGATGGAGCGACATCAGACTAAAAAGGCTTCTGCACAGCAAGGGAAATAATTAAATGAATAAGGAGGCCACCTATGGAGTAGAAGAAAATATTTTCAAGGCATTGATCTGACACTAGGTCCAAAATATATAAAGAAACAAGAAGCTAACCTGTTTTAAAAGATATGATAATTTCTCAAAGAGGACATATAAATAGCCAATGGGCATATGAAAAAATTCAAATTACTAATCATTAAAGGAATGTAAATCAAACCACAATATTATCTCACTGGTCAGAATAGCCTGATATAACAATGATAGAAGATAAATATTGACAACAATATGCAGAAAAGGGACACAGACAGCTTGTACACTGACTGTGGGAATGTAAATCAGTGCACTCATTATGGAAAACTGTATGAAGAGACTAAGAATAGAATTGCCTGTGTGATCCAGCAGTCCCACTCCATAGATGCAAAGTGTTGAAATAAGTCTTCGCAAACACATGTGCACCAGGCCTATGTTCCTAGCACTATTCACAGAAGACCAGACATGGTTCAACCCAAGTGTCCATCAAGGAAGGATAGATACAATCATGGTACAAAATAGCATGCTATTGACAAACGGAAATGACATCATCTGTGATAACATGGAAGGAACTGGAGGAGGGAATGCTATGAAATGAACCAGGCAGAAAGGGACAAATTATGTAGCATCTCATTTATATGTAAAATCTAAAACAAAAGAACTCTCAGAATCAGAGCAGACTAACAGCAGTTGGGGGATGGGGGTTGGGAGAAATGGGCACACATTTACAGTAGGGGGAGGAGGTAGGTGAGATTTATTGCACAGCATTCTGCATTTTACATTTCAAAATTGCAAAGAGGATAAAGTTTCAAATGTTCTCACGCCAATAGTGGTAAGCATTGAGCTGGGTGTGGTGGCACAGGTTTATAATCCAAGCATTTGAGAGCATGTCAAATTTAAAGCAAGTGATACAGAGCTACAGAGTGAGACTACCTCAAAAACAAACAACATGTGGGTGTTGGTGGTGCTCACACCTGTAATCCCAGCTACTCAGGAGGGAGAGGTCTGAGAAGCACAGGTCAAAGCCAGCCCAGGCTGAAGAATCTGTAAGATTCCTAACTCCAGTTAACCAGCAAAAAAGCCAAAAGTGGAGCTATGTCTCAAGTGGTAGAGCACTAGCCTCTGAGCAAAAACACTAAGGGACTGTGCCCTGGCCCTGAGTTCAAGCCCCAGTACTAGCACAAATAAACCCCAATCCAAACAACAAGCAACAACAACAACAGAAAAGAGGTAGGTATTTGCAGTATTTAAGGATTGGCTGATTAGAGAAATTTAATCATTCCATATTGTATAATATTATATATATTATAATATTATATCCATATTGTATAATATTGTAATATATTATAATACATAATATTATATTCCACCTCACGAATACATACAATTATGACTTAGTAATATCTAACAAAAATAAAGTTATGGCTTTTTTTAAAATCGGTTGTGGGGCCTGAACTCTGGGCCTGGGAGCTAGCTGTCCCTCAGCTTTTCAGATCAAGGCTAGCGTTCTACCACTTGAGCCTCAGCCCCACTTCTGGCTTTTTCTGCTTATGTGGTGCTGAGGATTCAAACCTAGGGCCTCATGCATGCAAGACAAGCACTCTACCACTGAGCCACCTTCCCAGCCCCAAAGTCATGGCCTTTTAATACTACGTGAATCACAAAATGTCATATTCTATGGGTCATACATGTACATATATACATATATACGTACATACATACACATACATATACAAAAGCCCAAAGAAGGGGATCCATAGGCAAAAATCAGCTTATTGGCTGTCAGAGGCTGGAAGGAGGAGGACAGAAACACATTAGTTAGTAGATATGAGGGTCTATTCCTTTGGAATAGTGAAAAGTTTTGGAATTGACAGGTGGTGACTAAATGACAGTAGAAATACACTAGATGCCATTGAATTTGTGCATTTTAGAATGACTGATCTTATGTGAATTTCACCTCAGCTTAAAAATGTCCAACTTCTTCATTACAGCCTCCTTTATCAGTTCCATTTTCCTCTCAGATCCTTCTAACAGGTATCATGGGATTATTTATTGTAGGTCTTTGCTCTCTCCAATATAAACTCCACAAACACAGGGGATAGCTATGTGTTTCACTCATTGGTGGAAATATCAGTACACAGAACAGGAGTGGAACAAAGCTGGCTATGGATAAATATTTGCTGAATGAATCTGAGAAGACGTTACCTGTTCAGTACTTCATTAACAAAAGATCCTCAGTATTTCTTGGGACAATTTTTTAAGAAATTAGGGCTAAGGATCTGGTATGATCTCATCTAAAATAATTGAACTAGAGAGGAAGGAAAGAAGCAGACTTCCTAGAGGAGTTCTTGGTTCACCACCTGGTAAGCAAACAAACAACTTGACAAAGATCCAGAAGGCTGGGACAATAGGAATAAGTGCTGGGCACTGTGGTTATTTTTAATTTGTGAGGATAGGAATTATCAACAAACTTTCCTTTTCTCTAAATTCTAAAAGATCAGTTACTGCACTGGATTTAGGACTGAAGGAGAGCTGGACAACACCACTTTCCTATAACTACACTGTTTTCTGCACACACTCATGCTCAGCATGCAGAATCAATGACATTCTCCCAGGAGAAAATGCTTTCACTGAAGACAACTTACCTATAAGTTCCTTATTTCTGACGTCCAAGGCCATGTTCCGGAGTGCTGTGGCCACTGCACATACCACACGGTCATTATCTATCCGGAGCAGCTCCACGAGAATAGGCAGGCCTTTTTCCTTTCGGACAGCGGCTCGGATATATACTGACCACTGTCAAAAGAGGGAAGGCAAAGGACATTAGGAACAGAGGTGGAAACCTGTATGGGCAAAACATATGGGAGGGTTGTCGGACGGCAGCTCGCAGGAGCCAAAATGGTTGGATTATCAAGACCTAGTTGTAGAACAGCTGAATATGTTAGACATGCATGAAACATTTTAACATTATTAATATTTTTTGATAGAGGTTTTAGGGTTAATCCATGAACCACACTTCGTTTCTCTTCTGACTGTGTTATGGGTACTTGTGTTTGAAAGACCTGGTGGGATGGGTGGATGGGGCACTTTAAGATGTGGAAGCTGGGACAGAAGAGTTTTCCACTGATATTAAGAGGAGGTAAAAATGTACCACCAATTGCAGAAAGTGACTTTATACAAGAGCTCTGAAGGTGGTGGTTGGGCACTGCCATCATCTGCCAAAGAGGCGAAGGGTATATCCTTTGCCTAACAAGAAAGTAAATATAACCACCATGGGCGAACCTTATAGTCTTTCAAAAAAATAATATATGAATGTATTATATCCAGGACCCCAATTCAAAGCCTTATTTGTAAAGTAAGAGATACAGTGTGTTTTGATTTTGTGGTTCCTGACCACATTGCACACAGCAAATGCTTCATATTAAAATTTAGGCAGGTTAAGCACTCAGGTTCAGAATGAAGGCTAGGTCCAGTTCCTCCAGCATACACACATGGTTTACTTAGGTTATATTATTCTACAGTGTCCCCAATTTTGCCACTGAAAAATGGACAAATGTAAGGGTTTGATCTGAAAAAAAAAAAAAGAAAAGATTCACGGAATGCGGTTTCTGGATTTGGAGGGAGAGTTCTCATGGGACCAGTCCTTCCCGCCCTCCCCCACCAGGCCCGCTCCACCCCCCTCCCCCACGGGGGCAGGCACCCCAGAGCTGGCTCTCACCTGTGGCAGGCAGGGAGCCCCCTCTGGCAGTGAACGTAGGGCATACGCCATGCCTGCCACATCCTCAGCCCAGCCCTGCATGAAATATGAGATTAAAAAAAAAACAAACAACTTCATCCCATCCTAGTCAGAAGTCACATTCACATAGCTTCTTATCACCATCATCCCATAACACACACTTTTCTTCTCCTGCTCCCTTTTGTGCCTCAAGCTCAGGAAGTCTGAGGGAAGGGCTGACCGATCTGAACTCACTGAGGTGCGCCTGGGCTGCGGGAACAGTCTGACAGCCCCAGAGGACTGACTGAATTGAGTCTTAGATGTGAGAAAGCATAGAGGTCAGCATTCAGAGCAGAGGTACTGTCTCCTAGTGGTGCACACGCCTACTTCTGAGACCCAACTTGTGCCCTTCAGGGTTTCCAGACCCCAACCCAGAACAGACAGGAAACCTGAGCTTATGCAAACTGCCCATACATGGGTTTGTCTCTAAAACTAATGGGGAAAGCTAGAAAAATGGAAAGGATGGAAATCAGTGTTGGGGGATAATGTGGACATATCGCAAGGTGCACATAACAGTACATTTTAACACCAGGGAGACAGTCTTGACCTTCTGAGACACGGCAGGGACTATTCCTGAGAAATTCAGTAGAATCTCTGGATCACCTCCTGTCCTCGGCTACTTCCTTCCCTGGCCCATGCTTTGGGCCTATGTGCTATGGTTTCTTTTAATTCTGCAAAGCTCAAAGAGGTCAGTTTTTAGTTTCTCTTTAAATGATATGGAAATTAAGACACAGTGATGTTAAATAACCATGCCATCGGAGTCACTTAAACCTGGATCCTGTTTCTTCATTTCTGCCTCTCTTTATGACATTGTTCCCACTATCCATATGCTCTCTCTTAGGGACTTTCCTGATCTTTTCCTCCATTCTCACACTCAGGGAGAACTACCTGTAGCTGAAAATGATCCAAGGAGGAGACAGATATGACCCTGTCCTCCGTGGAAGTCCATCTTCATATCCCTCATGTTGGATGGAAAAATGCTCTGGCATTTGGAGAATGAGAATCCTTCAGCTTTGGTTTGAGAGTAAGTGAAAAACGAAGCCAGGAACATAAGGCCCCCAACATATACAGTTTTGATACGAAAAAATGACCAACATTGTAATTTCTCCCAAGATGGAAGCTGACAGGCAGACAGTGGATCTGATCATTAACTATTGAGCTATAAAACGATAACTTTGGTTTGAAGTTTATTTTAGTTTTGGATGTGTTTCTGTTTGTATGGGAGATTTCCAACACTATCAGAGCATATAGGATAGCATTACATTGTGGTCAAACAGAGTTCTAAACTTGCCTAACTTTTTATTTTTTTTTTTACATTCAGAGGCAGGTGATTGTAATGTGCTATCACTTCTGGAGGAAGATAAGTAGACCATGAGCAAGGTGATAAAGGAGAGGCAGGTATGCTACAGACAAAGGTATTTGGGAAACGGAGAACGTTTCACAGGTCCAAGTGTCATAGAAATGCAAAGTTCACAAAGAGAGCTTCTAAAAAGAGAAGGGCACTGCCTCAGGGAGCATGCTGGGCTCTGTTCTAGAAAGGTATTTGGGCTGCCAAGAGTTTTAGTTGAAACTACAGGAGTCCGTTCACATAAATAGAGTAACAGAGAAAAGTGTGCCCAGTTCAGAGTGGCTACAGTGGACACCCTGAGAGAGAACATGGATGGAGTGCAGGTGGCATGTGCTGTGCGGAGAGGAGGGATGTGCCAGGTGTGGACCAGGAAGCCCTTGAGAAGATGAGTCCATGAGCTCAAGACAGGAGCGTGAAGATTCCAAAGAAGAAGAAGGAAGGGGAGAAGCAGGAAGAAGGCAACATAAATGAAGTAGAGGAGGACAAAGAAGAACAGGAGGGGAAGAGGAAGAGGAGGAGGAGCAGGATTTGACCCAGGAGAAACTAGACTTGCCTGCAGTCGGCCTGAAGATGCTCATGGTCCCCCTCTCTGGCCTAGCAGTTAATCGTTCACTGGGCACGGTTCTCAGCCCTTGTGTTTTAATCTTAATAGTACCCGTGTGGCAGGTACAATTGTGGTCCCTCCTCTACAAATGAGAAAAGAGAGATCCAGCCAGGGCTTGCATCCGGCAAATGCTTAACCAGGTCTTGAGTCCAGGAAGCATCTCCTAAGTCCTTGGGCTGGAGCTCCATTCTCTGCCTCCATAAAGTCAGCATCCATTAAAGACATCTCTACTCATCGTTGATGGAATTCTTTACAAAATAACCCATTACGATCCGCCTTCTTGGTGTTTTCACCTCCATTCATCTGTTGGCATTCCTCTGAACTGAGTTAAAGATTCAGTGAGCACTATGAATGGAGATGACGGAGATTCCGATACAGCCCTGAGAACTGCTTGCTGAGATTCAGTGGGTCTGACACTAGAAGCCAGATGTAGCCAGGAGTTTCTTGTCTGTCAGGAAAGGGTCTTGTGTTCACAGGCGATGGGGCAGTGCCTGGAAACATAACGGCTACATTTGTGCTTTTCTTCCTTGTCCAGGAATCCTCCTGGAGGGCTGCTTGGCTCACCATTTGGCCTCACAAGGTATTGTCAGAGAAGAAAGAGAAGAACTCAGATTAGCATTCAAAACTAAAGGGCACAGATGCAGGTAGAAGCTGGGATATATTTGGAAGGGGATTAGCAGAGGCAGGAAGTAATTTACCCTTCTCATGCAGAGCCTCTGAGCTGGAGTTGGGGAGCAGAGTGGGGAGGAAGGAAGAGAAATGACACAGTGAGCAGGCTGCCACCTAAGTCCTGGACTCTGGACACGTCCCTGCTTGGGGTGAGGGGCTGGTGAGCAAATGGTAGAGCGGAGAACCGTCAGAAAATCTTCTTTCCTTCCACTCTGGCAGCGGCCAAGTGAGATTCAGCAAGGTTCTGGAGTGGGAAGCAGAGAGCAGGGACAGCACAGTGTGCTTTGCAGGCTGCCGAGAGTGCCTATGGCCCCAGCATAGCCCCGAGGGCTTTTGTGAGCTGCAGTGCACAAGTCCACTGTGGAATAGCGAAGGATGTGGAGCTGCAGAGAAGTTACCCCACCAGAAGGTGGAGGTGGAGAGCCACAAGGAGGGAGTCAGGAGCGGACCAGAGATGACCCCGTCACTGACCATCACACCCGTGTGTGTTCTGGACAGGAGGCAGCATAGGGTCGATGTATCTCCAACTCAGAAATGGAACCAATTCATAATGTAGTTCCACCTCTCTGCAGGAATATCTTGGACAATCCAAGTTGAACATCAATTGTGGAGATCGGGAGCGGGTGAGGGCTGGCACCATCCGTGCAGCCAGGCTCCACGCCAAGTTGAATTTATCTAGAAATGACTCGACTGGTGTTCCCTCCCAACTTTTTTTTTTTTTTTTTAAACTAAAACTAGGCAAAGCTAGGGCTGAGATGTAACCTAAAGTGTAAACCAAAGGCACTTGAATATGCGTTTGGGTCTAATACTTGCCTTCGTGGCACTGAAGGCTTGCTGATGAAGTGAAGTCAGGAACCTTTGAATCCTCTAAAGCCAGGCTGCTTTACTGGGTTTCCAGAAGCCTAGCTTTTAACAGTCTCAGCCTGACTATAAACATAACCAATGGCTATAAGTTTTTTCAAAAGTTTCTCCCCTATATACAGTGTGGTTATCTGTTAAAGATTATTCATATTTTAAAGGATGTGTAATTTAAAAAGATTTCCTCCTCTTGGAATCCTAGTAATTGGCTAAATGGCTAAGGATAATGTTCTCCACTAAATGCAAAAAGTCTCTTCTGAGGCCAAACCCAGAATAATGCTAAAATTCTGAATCTGACTACTGATTTTATTGAAAGTAGAGTGCAATTAAATGTTTTTCTGTTAGATGCCCGTCTTCCCACCGACATTATGACATTAGCCATTCCCCTTTTTCCTTTAAACATGATAAAGAAAGGTTATATTTTAAAAACCTAACTCTTCCAAATACAATTTATAATTAATTTATAATTATAATTTAATTCTGAGGCATTGTAGGAACATGTCACACAGCCACCTTTGTGTAAAGTCCCATCTCACACAAGAGGAATAGATACAGTGAATGTGGTAACAAACGGGGTGAGATTCTGAATTTATCTATAATACTGTGGGATTTACATGGTATCTGGTTCTCATGATGAGGGTGAATTGTATCTCCCTTCCCGAATTATTTATTCAGCCTTGCTTTACTGGAAGGGAACTGTGTCTACTCCAGCATTTATGGCAATGGGCATGGTCAGTGGAAGGTGCTCCTCATGCAGGCTGTGTCTCTAACAGACTCAGCACTCAGATGTCAGCTTTTCAAATTCCATCATGTCCTAAGATCATACTTTTTTATTCTTCAGAGTTCCAAGATTTATTTTGAAAAACAAACAACGGTGTCTCCATTGGAGAATATTGTTGAAAAATTTCCTTATGTCACCAAAACAATCAAAAGTAACAATGTGGATTAAGGTCATGGTAGCTATTATGTGTATGTTCTATTTTTTTTCTTGTCTGCCTGTAGGTTTTAAATGTAAGTCTGGTTATTGCAAAGACTGAATTTGGCTGCATGTATTCATACAGTTCTGAAAATCTTAACATTCAATCAGCAGAATTTCCTGGGGAGAGGGAAGGGAAACCATTTTGATGTGCTTTCAAGGTCAGAACAAGTGAAGAAGGTCAGGCTGAGGTGAAATGTGCTCCTTTCTTCACTAAATAAATGAGCACACATTAGGTATTCTCCCAGCCCTTAAGCGATCTCAAGGACCAGTAATTTTCAATTAAAAATACCCGCCTTTGTGGACACAGGAAGGGTTGTGAATGTTATACTGGAGGTCTCATTTCTGTATGTGACTGGCAATTAGAAAAGCCTCTAAGGGAATTAAATGAGACCCTGTTGAGATGACGGGCCTCACAGAGAAGGCAATGAAGCCTTTCCTGGTCTTGCTCTGAGCCTCTTGCACTTCCGTAGTGGTGCTGCAGGACACGCCACTGACTAGGGGAGTCACTGACACGATGGAGCTTCTGAATGGACCTGGCGACAGTTCTGGCCTCAATGCGG